CCGTTGCGATTTTCTTTTTAACGTTGCGATTTTCTAAATCGCGTTGCGATTTTGATATCGCGTTGCGATTTTATTGGTCATTTTGGCAAATCCAAAAAAAATTGGTTAAAATCGTATATTATAAGGTATTTTTGGTCACTGAGGCGATTTTCTCTTATTATTATCCTCATAAAAATTTATGTAAATTTAAATATTTATACATGTATATGTTGGAGTACATTATAAAAGTAGCGTAATCAGTGTGTAATCGTGGGAAGTCACGTAATCCTTATCCTTATTCTCTTCTCTCTCTCTTTATGAACAACAATTCCCATATCTTCACTCATTTACTTTCCTCTTTTTCACTCTCCTTTTCACCCATTATACTCTACGCTTCAATTTGGGTTCCTCTCTTTCGAACAAATCCTCGAGAAAATCTATGCGCTTAACGCTCCACTTTTGGATTCGCTAGAGGGAGGATTCTTGATGGGTTTGGTTTCGGTTTTCTTGGAGATTTTGAGGAAACCCACGATTGGGGATGTGTTGACCGACCTACTGATTTTCATAGCTCCTTTATGGGTTGCCGTGATTGTTGGGGTTTTAGTTGGTTGGGCTTGGAAGCCTAAATGGGCGAATTTAGGTAGAGACATGTTCGTGGATTGTTCAACTGCTTCTTCTTCAGAGTCTAATTCTACAGGTTTTGCTTCGCTTCCGAGCTTGAATTTGGTGAAGTTTCAGTTGCCCAGTTGTATCCCTTGGAGTTCAGATGATGGATCTCAAAAGGATTCTTTCCCTTTGTCTCCTACTCTTCATTCCAATTGCAGGTTTGTGCCTCCTTTTTTTATGTATACAATTTAGCTTTTTGATTGGATAAAAACTATGATTGTATTTGAATTTGGCAACAGCTAATGTTTGTGTAATTGTGCAGTTCATCATACAATGGGAAGGAAAATCTGGGTTTTCTGACAGATGATGATTTAGAGCATTTGTTTAAATTAACTGAAGAAAAAGATGGAGGTCCTGCTTGGATTCACATGATGGATAAGTCGACACCCACCATGGCCTATCAGGCATGGCAAAGAGATCTCGAGGTATATACTTTTCCCTCTTCTATGTGCTAGTTGTTTTGGAATCCATTTGATGTGTTGAATTATGAATTATGATTTTGTTGTTCATTAGATTGGTCCTACGCAATACCGTAGCCAGACTATTTTCGATGATGCCACTCCTGAGATGGTGAGGGATTTCGTTTAGGATGACAAGTTCCGAGCGAAATCGAAGTGGGACGAGATGCTTCTCTGTGCTGAAACTCTGGAGTCGTCTCCCGTTGATGGGACCATGTTGGTCCAATGGGTTCGCAAGGTTCGAAGAAAAGTTCTCTTATTGTCTCTTTTTGGTTGGTTTTCATTGTTTGTATCATTATTTTGTAACCTGTTCTTTGGTTTGCAGTTTCCATTCTTCTGTAGTGATAGAGAGTATCTGATAGGTCGTCGGATTTGGGCGTCTGGGCGGACATATTACTGTGTTACAAAGGTAAACATACTATCCTATTCCCCGGTTTTCAGCTTTGATTAAAAGTCCGGAAGTTAACAACTCTCTTCTGTATTCATAGTGAGAAATAACTGGGTTGCAATCGACAATTAGATAAAATATTAGTGGGAACAATATACCTTTTAGGTTTGAGTAAATCTGATCATTGCTTAGCTGAACCGACTCTTATTCATGAACTTTATGGTTCATTTCACTCAAGTCTTAGTGCCTAATAGTAATCCAATGATGATAAGTCTACAACACTTCATGCCATGAGGGCAACATTTTGGTGAATTTGCTTTGTCTAGTTTTTGAAGCGACGAAGCTAACTTTTTAGTGTGTTTTACCCCATTTCAGGGAGTACCATATCCCTCTGTTCCTAGAAAAAACAAACCTAGGCGCGTTGATTTGTACTTTTCAAGTTGGCGCATTCGTGCGGGTAATGGACCTTTTGTCCTGACTTTTTAGTTTGGAATCGTTTTTCAGTTTTTTTCCCGTGCTGTTAGAATGTTTTAGACGTATTTTTCCTACAAGAATGAGGAATTGGTTTTGGTATTGGCTTAGTACAAACCTAAAGAAAACGTAGAATGCTATATTGTGTTCTCAGTTAATATGAACTCTTAAATAATTTGCATGTGATACCTTTCTGACAATTGAATCAAGGAAAGGGGATGATCAGCTGAGTGCGTGCGAGGTGTTGCTTTTTCGTCATGAAAATATGGGTACACCATGGGAAATTGCGAAGCTCGGAGTCAAGCTAGGCATGTGAGGAACTGTCCGGAGAATCGACCCTGGCTTACGCGAATATCAGAAGGAAAGAGCATCCGGAGCACCCCTATCCCATTGTGCTTCCATGGCTCATATAAACACAGAAGTAACTGCGGACTACCTAAGATCCTTGGAAAGCCACGATAACAGTTCATCAGAGCTTGAAACTCATAATTCATCGGAGAAACCTTTCGGGAAGAATAACATTCCCAAACTTTTAGTTGTTGGTGGGGCCATCGTCGTTGCCTGTATTCTCGATCGAGGGCTCTTAACCAAAGCTGTTATATTTGGAGTAGGCCGAAGATTCGCGAAAATCGGAAGAAGGTTATAATCCCGAATAGTTTTGTCCTGTCATCCCAAGGATATAATATAATATACCCAGCACCAGCAAAGCAGATTGCCATTGCAATGAAGTGAGATGTTGTTCCATGGATGAATCTTCTCACTTTCCTGCTTTTAAAGGGAACGAAGCTGGAAGATTATATTAGTTAATCCGATAAGATAGAATCGATGAGGTAGATGTTTTCGAGAAAACAAACTCTCAAACAAAAGTCGAGTTTCGGTTTTGTTCAGTGGCTCATCTATTGCATTGTTGGTTTTTTAGTCGATTATGGTCTTCAAATGCTATATGAATGGTTATATTCTTTGTTATAGAACAGGTGATGGAAGGTGGTGATGATAAGCAGCCATTCTTGGTAGACAAATTATGTCGTGGTAGCATTCCATTCATCTGCCAATTCCGACCGTCCCATTTTTCAAGTCTATAATCATATAGGCGAACGAGGACACTAAAGCCGTAATATACGAACAATAACGGTAAATATGAGTGATTGTACGGTGAAATAATACTCCTTTCGTCCTATAATTTTGATCTTATGTTGATCAAGCATATAATATTAATATGGTAAATTTGATAGATTTGTTTTTGATAAGTAAAAAATAGAACAAATAAGAATAAAAAAAATATAAATGTTATTATACGTTGATTTTTTTAATATTATATTTCGGAATACGATAATTCTAAAAATGAAATTAAACAAATTTAATGGGATAGAACAAATATTTTTAAGAAAAGAATTTAGAATTAGTCAAATATAGAAAAATAATATTAAGTAATGCAAGACAATTATACTGAGCAACTTTAATGATTGTTAGGATAAAATTATAAAAGAAATTTGTTTAACAAAAAATTTACTTCAATTAGATTTTTATTTTAATTAACATTTAACATAAAAAATACGATTTTTTATGAACCTGATGTGTAAAAAGATTTTAATGTGGAGTTTCTACCTTGTATATTTGATAACATTAATATTGTGTTACGAATGAGATTTGTTTATGTATCAATCTTATATTTTTTTCATTTTAGATTATTTATTTTATTAATTTAAGTTACTTTATAATTTGTAAATTAAATTAAATTTAAACTTAAATTGCAAATTTTAATAAAATTATTATTAATTAAATTTCTATACATTTATTTATAATTATAAACGATGTTCTAAACAACTATTATAATTAGTCAGTCTCGTTGAGTTTTGAAACAAGACTACTTATAGTAGATTAACTAAGGAAGTACTAAAATAAACATTATTTAATTATTTATAACAATAACTGAGTTTAAAAGAAGACAAGGTACACGTGGTCTTTTTCTACTGGCTAAAGAGAGCTTGGATTCCGTAGACTCGACGTGGCATGGAAGGCAAGCACAATTATTTGAAATCCTAAAGTAGGGTAAACTATACAATTTTTTACTGAATTTTATTATCTCTCCTATTTTACTCATTATATTTTAAAATTTTCCAATTTACTCATAAAATTTCGAATTACTCTTATTATTGTCATTTTAAATTATTTTATTATTATTTTAGTATGATATGAATTCTTTTATTAATATTTTATATAAAAATAATTAAAAATATAAAATAAAAACATATAGTGGTTGTCCACTATTCGCTAGCGTTGGATGCCACCATCGATGATCATAAATGGTGGTTGTTTGATCTCAGATTTCATTGGTCACTTTGTCTCAACCCTTTGAGTCCAAATCCGCCATTCATTTTGTTGGAACATTTTCTTAATCCAATCAAAAGTGAGAAAATCAAAACATTGGTCGTTGTCGACTACTTTAGATGATTGTCGTTCGGTCATAAATTTTATGGGTCACTTCACCTTGACCCCTAAGTTCGAATCCCACCTCCATTTTGTCAGAACATGCTCCGAAGTCCACAAATAGAAGATCGAAAGTTAGAAAACCAAAATGTTTCAGTCAAGATTCATGAGTTTTGAATTTTTTCCTGTGAAAAAATCATCAGATTCATACTCAACATGTCAAAGAGAGTCGCTCGTTACAATTTGGAATAAAAAAGTTGTCGGTTTTTGAAGGTCGGCGATAGTCGAAGGTGATAAGAACGGCGGTGGTGATGTTGTAGATGGTGGAGAAGTGAAAATATTATTTTATTATTTATTTTAAATTATATTTACATTTAAAAAATAATAATAATAATAAATATCACGTCATAGAAGAATAATAAAAATAATAATTTGTAGTGACTAAAATAGGAGCAAATTGAAAGTTCGTGAGTAAATTGTAAAAATTAAAGTACAGTGAATGAAATAGGTGAGAGAATAAAGTTAAGTGAGAAATGTTTTAATTTACCCTAAAAAGTAAAAATAAAAATTTAAAACTGTGCTTAAATTAAGGAAGGTAGGGCAAATTAGCATAAAAAGGTTGAGGGGTGATGAAATATTCAGAAAGGGAGAGTTGACGGAAAACCGAGTGAACTGGTTGGAGGGATCCGGCAAAGTTTCGTCGGATTTCCTCCATTTGTCGTCGGAATTTTGGAAGCTCTCTCTCTCCCTCTATATTTTTAATCGCTGGAATAGAAAGAATATTGGGAAAATGAAGGGATCTGGACCTCTTGTTGCGACCGTGCTTGCTGCTTCCACGATGGCTTTGTCCTCATCTTGCTACACCGGAACCCATAATGCTTCGTTTCCCCCTACCTCTTCCAATCAGGTAATATTCGTTTCTGTTAAAAGAAGAAAGAGAAAATCTCATTCAATGTTTAACTGACATCCTTTTCAAAATAAATTTCAATCTGAAATTTTGCCTGCTTCAATCTATTGATTCTGGATCTAAATTTGCCTCTTCTTTACTCTATTAATTTGTATTAATTCACGGTAAAATCTATGAATTCGATATTCATCTTGAGATTGTTTATGGATTATGCAGGGGACAGGGAACGGTGCGTCGAGCAGTTTGACGACATCGGGACCGGAAAAATTTGCGCCGCGGTTTGATGGTTTGAGATTCATAGAGACATTGATCACGGCTCACAGATAGAGGGAAACGCCGTTCTCTCTCCGTTTTTTATTTCCATTTATTAATTTTTGAAGGTTTCGTTTTGTTACTCAAAAACATTGGTTAAAACAAAAACTAATTTGTTACATTTTGAATAAGATTTGGAATTACGGAGTAGCGTTTTTCTGCTTGTTTAATAAGTCCCGTCGTTGTTCGCCTGCTTATTGTTATGCTTTCAGTTAGATTGATTTTGACGGTGAAATTAAAATTTCCAATTCCTCGAGTTTGGTTGATGTGAAAATATTAATATAGTTTTATTTTTTTCAAATATTTTGTTAAACTTTTTCTTTAAAATAATTAATAAATTTTTATGGTTTAAATTTGATAAAAAAATAAATTTAAAATAAGGAGGAGTTGAAGGAATAAAAAATCATGGACCAAATTGTAAAATTTTCAAAATATTCATACAAATTTTCAATTTTTCGAGTTACTTAAAATTTTAAAATTTCAACTCGAAACTGAATTGATAATTTGAGTTAACTCAAATAACTTAAATAATTCAAAATTAAAAAATAAAATTTAATGTTTTAAGTCGAATCAAATTTTACTCACCCTAAAAAAGATATAGTGAAGGGAGCAGGTGGGACAATTGCCTCTAAAAATTTTAATTTTTTATGTATTTTTTTATATTTTTTATATTTTTCATTTAAATATTACTTTTACCTCTTAAAATTTTATAAGTTTATTTTCTAATATAACATATTACGTCCACCCTATATATGTATTTTAAAGTGAAATATAAGCAAATAGATAATAGGTAAAACGATTTTAAATTAATGGGTTTTAACTAATTAATTGAGGTGAAAATGTGGTTTTTTTTTCTTTATAGGTTTTTGTTTTAAGTAGTTAAGGGTTTATTACAGAATGATTTAGCGTTGAACGAATCAATGTTGAATGATTCAGATGTTCTGTATGAATTAGTTCTGAATGTGACATGTTGTTTGATAATGACTCTGAATCTTTCAGAATGTACTTCTGTGCTGAATCATTCAACACTGTTTTACTGAATCAATCAGCACTGAATTATTTAAAAGTATAAAACAAACGCCCTAAATGTTAAACGATTCAACATTCAACGCTAAATGATTTCATTAAAGACAAACAAACAACTTCTAAGTCTATACGGTATGCGTGCGTATCAAGAAAACGAGTTGATGATCCTGACAACGCCTTCAGGCTAGTTGACTCTCGCTATTGGGAGCGGATGTGTTGGGAAATAGTGTTTTTAAGGCTGTAATTTTTCTCATTTTTTTCTTTTTACTTACCTAAATAATAGGTTAAAAAAGTTTTAAACTTAAATTATCTTATAATTATCATAAACTATTAAAAAAATAATTATTTGAGGTAGAAAGGTTTAAACTCTATAGATTTACTAAAATGTATTTCGTATCTTCAAATTATTACATATGTTTTTATTGTAATTTTCATAATACATTTGATTTAATTCTATTAAAACTAAAATAATATAAAAATAAATATAAAATTTTGGGTTGGGACACAACGGTAGGAGTGTAAACGAGTCAAGTCGAGCTCTAGTATTACTGTGCTCGACTCGAACTCAAAAATTAACTCGACTCAAACTTGAAATATAATATTAAAACTCAACTTGAACTCGAAAAGGCTCGAACTCAAAGCTTAAATGAAGCTCAAAACTCAAACTCAATTAAAACTTGATTCAAACTCGAAAAAACTCAAACTCAAAACTCAATTGAAACTCAAAACTCAATTAAAACTCAATTCAAGCTCGATTTTAAACTCAACTCAAGCTCAACGCCGAGAAAGATAAGTTTCCAACTGCACAAACCCGCTTATTTTATAGGTAGTTTGTCCTGTCATCTTATAGTATCTTATGAGATATTGTTGAGACTTGAGAGCATTACTTGTTTCAGAGCCTTCATCTTCATCCTCAAACTTAAACACAAAAAAACGCATTCCCATTGTTCAAATCCCGATCAAACAACCACTTATACACGTCCCACGAGATTTGAATCGAGACCCCATCGACTTGAATCTTCTCGTTGCCTCTAAATTTTCATTTCAGCAGCTTTATTTGCAATACCCTTTCCTTGTCGACGCGGAAACAAAGCTCTGCAAATCCTGAAGAAGGCAAGTTTTCAAAGTCTGTTAACTTTTTCTTTAAAGCCTTATTTCTTTCATCGTTCTTTTCAACTCTATATTGATCATAATTTTTTTTGTTACATCAATTACCGCAGGCAAGTTTTGAAAATTTGTCATAAGTTTTGTGGTCAAGCTGTGGGCACGAAAGAATCATAATCTTTACCACAAATCATAAGGAAAAGTTAGACCCAGCACTGCTACGGCCAGGGCGAATGAATGTGCATATTTACATGGGATATTGTTCGCCAGCAGGATTCAGGAAACTTGCATCTTCATATATTGGAATCAAAGATGACAAACTGTTTGGCTGCATTGATGATTTGATTAAAAGTATTGAAGTTACTCCTGCTGAAGTGGCACAACAACTGATGATCAGTGATGAACCCAGAGTTGCACTCCAAGGTCTCACCGAATTTCTTAACACAAAGAAGAAGGATATAGAGAAAGCTGCAGTTGAACACAAGGAAAGGATCATTGAAGAAGAGGAAGAAACAGAAGAAAAGAAGGTTGAAAGGCAAAATTCAGAGCTTGCAGAGTCTGAATCAAGATGATATATTTGACTTAGTTTAGCTATATGTCCAGTTATGGGATAACAAATGTGTTTGTTTATAGTTAATTACCTATTGGTGCTTAAAAGGGATGAATTTCATGACGACGACTTGATTTTTGGCGTTAAAATAGTGGTGACCTCAAACCAACCACAAAAGGAACTTGCAAAATAAAAGACCACTCACAAGTTTAAATTTTGTTGTATTTACAATGAGTCAATGACTTGACTCTATAGCATCACAAGGATATGCTGATCAAAGCTATTGCACAAAAAATAATCTCTATCGTGGCAACGATGAAAGAGGTAAACCCTGGAGAAAGTTATATGAAGGTGGAAATATATCTTTTGCCGATGATAGAGTTCGAATTAACTCATCTACTTGCCGTGCAGACATGCAAACCACATCCCCTACATTCTTTGTTATCCAATCTTCATGTACCCTGCAGAAGTGGGAAAACAATTTTAATGCATTGAAACAAAATTTAGTACTGATGAATTCTATGAATTCCGAATGAAAATAGACACACAATCTATTCACCGAACTAGAGAAGCATTTAAGGGGAAATAACATGAATGCAAAAGTTAATGTTGGAGGGCATTGACAGACTTCTTGAACACGGAAATGAAATAGACATTGAATAAAAGAGATTACAGTAATGATACCAATGAATACTTCCAGGTGTCCAAACATTATATTATATAAATATATATTTCTGAATCTTGTAATAAAAGCTGACAATCCAATCCCAACAGATATTTCTTTTTCATCCTTCGAGCAAGCAAGTTTTATTAGTGTCAAGTCAAGCATGTAATTCATTTATCAGTAGTACCATTGACTTTGCTTTTCTTGTTTCAATTTCCCCTGATTTACAAATGTATGGACCAATGGGGAAAAAATTAGAACCCAATTCTTATCAACAAAGACAGGACATAAGACCAAAAGCGTCAAAAGTTTTCTAAATATGAAACAATTAATGCAATCTGTTAAGCCATTCAGAAAACTAATGAGCTTATCGTGCTAAAAAAGGAAGGAGACAATCATGAGCTCAATTGAGATGGACCTTAACTGAGATGCTGCAGTTTCACCACAATCAGAAAAGTTGACCTTGATAACAGGGAGTAAATCTAACTTTAGACTAGGTTCTGCTGCACTAGCAGTGTCCAAGCAATAACCAGAACAGCACCAAGAATTTGGATTTAGCGGAACGATTTGCAACAAGGGAGACTTAGTTTTTAAATCTCTAACCAAAGTCCGAAATGACAATTCATCTTTTGCATTTTCCAGTAGTTGATTAGTGAACATTCTTTCCAAGCTATATTTCCTGTTCATGATGAGCAAACTTTAAGCCCACGGTAAGAAATTTATCATTAGCAATAAAGCAACTCTTCACAGGTATCTAATCACCATAATGACTCATATATAAGCAAAAATCAGAACAAAATATCTTTATGGTAATTGTGCCTAATTGCCAAACTGTTTTGTGCTCACCTGAATAAGTCCCCTGGTCCACCAGCTGATGAACAAGCTGAAATGTAGCATTTGAATAATCGAACTGCACCATCAATGGGTGCAGCACCATTATCAAAAGAACAAGCTCCCAGGAGTGATAAACAGTTAGGGCATACAAGTTCCACCCAATCAATATCCATCGAGAGATTGCAGGATTTAGCCATAGAGACATTTCCAAGAAAACCATTAAGGAACAATTTTTGATTAGCCAAGAGCTTTGATGTGTTTTGCTCCACTGGACAAGTTTCAGGGACATTGGTTTGGCTACGTTCATCTAAATATCGCACTCTACGCATGCATTATAATTTGCAGGTAAGTCCTTAGAAGGAATCATCGATACCAGGTGGCGGACTGCTCCAAGTCTAGACTGCTTGAGCACCCTTTTGTAAATCCCTAATTTAATTCTTGTTTGTATGTTGAATTTTACGTTTATTTAAATTTAGTCATTAGTTTAATATGTATATGCATGTTTAATAAATTTATAGTTTGGTATGTTATATTTTAATTTTTGTATTTCAATCACATTTGTTTAAATTTTCTTATTTGTTTTAAATGTTCAGGTGTCATTTATGTTATTTTCCATATTATTTTAGGTTAAACCGAATATGATCAATTGCATATAAGACCCTATAGTTTATGCACATTTTGTATTTAAGTCATTGGTTTAATTACAATTTTGTAAGTTTAATTTTACATTTACGTGAATTTAATCATCATTCTAAAGTTAGTATATTTAGCTTAAATTAGTCCTCACATTTAGGTTTCTATTAATTTAGTCCATGTTTAGGATTGTTTTCTTTAATTAGTTGTCTATATTTATTTTGCATGTTGATATGTTTATGTATAAGTATGCGAATGATTTATTTATGAGTCGCATAACATCATTTTGCATAATTTGTATGTTACCTTTATGTGCATAACCTAAACCCTAAACCCTAAATCCTAACATATAAACCCTAAACCCTAAATCATGTCATATAAACCCTAAACCCTAAATCTTAAATCATATCATATAAACCCTAAACTCTAAACCCTAAACTTTATCACATAATTAGAAGGAATGAGATGACTTAGTGAAAGGAGAGAGAGTATACTTGTTTTGATATATATTTTTTTAAATTATTAATATTTAAATTGAATCTTATTTTTATTATATTATATTTATTATCAAATAAAAAATTAGTTATGAGGTAAGTACAATATAGTATCTTGATATTAAATGCTCAAACCCTTGATAATTATGATATTTGAACTCAAAACCTCAAAATATAACAACAATTTAAAAAACTAGTTATTACAAATATTATCATTAGAAATATATTAAATATTTGTCATTAGATAAATAATTTTTTTATTAATTTAAAATAATTATAAGAAAATTTATTCAAAAATAAATTTTAACCATTTTCAATTCAAGAATATTTATTCATCAATAATGTTTTTTAATATATTTTTAATAATGTAATTTTAAAAAATCTAAAATTATAATATAATATTTTTTCGAGCTGCTCACGAGCTTTTCGAGTCGAGTATCGAGTAGCTCGTTTCGGCTCGTTAAGAACTCGAGTCGAGTTCGAGCTTGAGTCGAGTCCATTCGATTCGAGTATTTATCGAGCCAAGATCGAGTCGATCTCGAGTAACTCGTGATCTGTATCGTCTCATTTACAGCCCTACACAACGGGGTGGACGAAATTATTTTAAAACTAGTATCAAAATAGAATACTAATATATTAAATAAAATTTAGGATGAGATATATTTATTTATTTGGCTTAAACTAAAAATAGTCCCTAAACTATATTTTTTCACGTTAAGTCCCTAAACTATTTTCTGATCAAAATAAATTCCTAAACTATGTTTCTTTTTTTATTTTAAGCCCCTAAACTAATTTTTCATCAAAACAAGTACCTAATTTTTTTATGAGAAAATAACTCCAGTGACCGAAAATGCCTTATAATATACGATTTTAACAAACTTTTTTAGATTTGCGAAAATGACCAACAAATTCGCAACGCGAACTTCAATTTCGCAACTCAGTTTCCAAATTCGCAACGCGAATATATAAATCGCATTGCGATTTTCCGCAACGCAAATCTGTAAATCGCAACACGAATTTGTAATTCGCAACACAGAAGTCAAATTCGCAAAGCGTGTTTATTTTTGCAACACGAATTTTATTTTCGAATTCGAAACACCCTCACAACTATTCACGGTCAGAAATGGAAAATCAATCACTGAGGGTTAGTTTTTTTAATTATTTTTATTTTGACATTTTTGTATTATTATTAGATTTTTCATATTTAAATTGATGATAAATTTACTGGTAATTTCAATAATAGATTAATCATTTCACTTAGATTGCTTAGTAAATTCATTCGGTTGCTGCTAATACTGTTGTTTAGTCTTTAACCCTGTGAAGTTAGTATTTGTCTTTGTTTTGTCTTTTGGTTGAAATAATGCAATTTATTCAAGTTTCAATTTGCAGAAGACTATTTGAAACTTAAATTCGCAACATGAAAATGAAAATCGATTTTCATTTCGCGTTGTAATTTTAAGTTTCAGAAACTATTCTTCTTCTGCAAATTGAAACTTGAATAAATTGCATTACTTCAGCCAAAAAACAAAGACAAATACTAACTTCACAGTGTTGCGAATTTAAGTTTCAAGAATAAACTACTACTCTTTATGTTATCCTTGAACCTGCACTAAACCTATATGTTGTCCTTTTAAATGTTTACTTCTGGAATGTTATCTGATGCATTTTGTGAACTATGATATAATAATGACTTGGGTGAATACCGTGCAAGTTTGAAACATATTTTGCTTTGTTTTCACTGTTTAATATCATGTCTGTTTATAGTGTATAATTTGTAGTTTTTGGTATATCTAACTTGGTATGTTTATTGTTTTTGTAGAAATTTTTTTCGGCTTCATTGACCTTAAGGAATAAATTAAGCCTAGCCACTACAATTGCGTCGACGCTTACACCTGTGCAAAGAAAATTGTTTGAGGATACTTGCTTCGGGCCATGGCTGAAAGTACAACATCCGGGTGGAGATGCTATGTTGACCCATTTGTTTCTTCAGACCATGACTAACGATCTACCCGAGAGGATACAACGTGGTGATGAAGAGATATGGTTTCATTTTCCTCCGACGTATACTTGTTTTGGGCGGGAGGAGTTTCACTGGTCTACGCTTCGGACACGATGATGTAGGTCGGTACACTAGTCATATCGCCCGCCCATCATGGTTATCTCGGGTTTTTCCTGATCTGGCAAAGGCGAAGCCGAGTTTACACATCGACGACTTGAAAAGATTATTTGTTAAAGATGGTTTTACTCGGATGGATGACCTCGATGTTGTCCGAGTATGCCATTTATTACTTTTGCATGCCGACTTTTTAGGCAAAGAGGCAAGACAACCTATTTCTAAGGACCTAATATTATTGGTAGAGGACCTAAATGCATGAAACATGTTTCTGTGGAGTTCATATCTATGGAAAGCTACCTGAAAAAAGTTGTCGTCTGCCTTTGAGGACCGAAAAAGTTTACGTGGCCATGGTTCCAAATACACTTTGGCAGACTTTATTTGGGCCTTTAAGGTAAGAATTTCTATATAATGTTTCCAAAATTATAATTAATTATTTAACAATTACTAATATTTGTGTATTATATTATTTGTAGATTTGGATATTTGAGGCTTTTTCCAGCATGCGGACATATGCAACCAAAAATTCAAATGATATTCCTAGGGATATTTTCTGTAGGAGGATCCGGCTGTTGGATTGGGAAGAGTTACTACCATATACGACGATGAATGATGTAAGTTAACAAAAATACTACCATATATAAACAAGTTATTACTAGTAGACGTTTAACTTATTTGAACTTTTATATTGTTAGGAGGTCAACTATCCATTACAGAGGCTGACACCTACAAAGGTTGAGCTTGCCACTGATTGGTGGCAAGCTAGTAAGCGTTTTTTTGATGACACAGACATATCTTACATCTATTTCGATTGAGACACTTAAAATAGTAATGTTTGTAACGTTAAACACATAGATATATAAAAAATTAAATACTTAAATGTGTAAAATAATATAATTTGAATATATTTTATATTAAGCATCATAATGATATTGGTTCCAAAAACAAGGACGACAATTATGTGTGCATTATTGTTAACAAGTTGTGAAAAATACATGTGAAAACTTAATCAAACTGTGTCCATACAAAACCAAAAAATTCTTCTCAACACACCTAATTTCCAACCACATGCCCATGCCAACTTGATGAATGTTATTACACAAAAATCTTCCTCGACACAAAATTGAATATTTAAAACATGAATATTTTAAATAAAATACATCAAAATTTTAAAATATATAAAATTATAACATTTTAAAATATATGAAATTAAGTTATTAATATAATATTTAAAAACTTAAATCATATAACATTTTGATTGTTTTTCTTAAATACTACTATCCTCTGATATGTTTTGGGTCCATATCTAATGACGAATTTATATTTATTATTATTATTATTTTGTATATATTGCATTTGTTAAATGATATTGGCGTCGTATTTTTGAATTTTTTAAGAGCAAAGATGGGGGCAAGAAATGAGGTCCAATCAGTTGGATTCGGGTTCGGGGCAAGAAAATTATCCATATACAGACATATGGTGGTGGACCCCCACTGTCAAAGGGCGTTATTGCATCAACCACAATATTACAACATGCGGTGTCGTTTCACACCTTATTAATACTTGTAAATAGGACAAACCCTTCTATTAGTCCTTGTACTATCAAAACGTCGTGAATTTAATCATTACTCTAATTTGATCATTTTTTAGTCGGTGGCGGATGTATAAAGCTTGTAGGGGTTCAATTATATATCCATTATTTTGGAAAAAAATATTAAATTTAGTTTAATATATTAAAGGAAAGAGAAAAAATTTGGATTTTTTTTTTCAAAAATAACATTATTAAAAATTTGGACCCAATTTTAAATTGGATAAATTATATATTTAGTATCTAAACTATTATTTTTGTTTTGTTTTGATACCTAAATTCTGTTTTTTTAAATCATATATAACATTTAGTTTATGTTTCATTTTGGTACCACGCCGTTAAAAAAAATGTTCTACGTGACATTTTTATGGGTACATTACATCATTCATCACTCAACTATTCTCACTCTTATTTTGGTCACTAAAGTTTAAAATTTTTCAATTTAACTACTCAACTTTCAAAATCTATTGTTTTAATCAAACTAATTTATTTTATTAATTA